TTCAAATGGCAGGCGTTATGATAGGTATCATTAGCCCTTTAGTTGACTTCGGGCTTCACAGAAAGGAAGAGGAACACCAAAGTGGCAAAAGTCGAGAGGGGGGACAGAATAATGATTCACAGACATAAAAGAGACAGACAGACACAAAGGTAGAAAAAAGGTGAGTACTATTTGATTAGTAGAATATGAAATGCGGTGGGGTCATGGTAGTTTGAAGTCAGAAGTCAACTGCTGATTAATAGACTTTTGCCGTATCTGTATATGTTGCCCAGAGTGCACCACGTGGAGGTAAGTCTATCGCACACCCCAGAATGTGAATGTAGCTCAATCAATAGATTCTTCTTCTAAGTGTTCATATATCGTTTCGATACAATAAATTAATTTGCTAATTGCTTAGTCAGTAATTGCGAAATGAGTTTAATTTGCTCTTTAGTTCGTGAATGAAAGAACAGTGAGTAGAAACTCGGTGTCCGAGTGCTTAGTTCGTTCGCAAGCTCTCAGAAACTCTGTTCAGAGTATAGAAGCTAATCTGCTATTCACTCTATAGAATTGCCTATTCGGTATAAACGAATTGAAGAAGAAACCGTAGCTATGTAAGTGTCGACTTGTTAGAGTTATAAATGACAGTTAATGGTATAATGCCCAAGAATGGGAATATCCATGAATATCTATACTGTATGCTGTATAAAGAACGTAATTAGTTTAAACTGCATTATTGTCCTTGTTGTTATTAGTTTATGCGTTTGTATTGGATAATGCACAATAACAAACTTTATTAAACGTCAGCAATCCTCATAGAAGTCTAACTATCTGCAGACAACTGCAACGAGCCTCGAGCATATATATCCAAATTATCTAAGGTGGTTCTAAGTAAGCAGAACGCAGAGTGTTAAGTGAAAAGCGTTTATTCCCACTCTTGGGAATTCCCAAAACGTGATCAGTTAATACAACTTTTAAATTGATATTCATCGCTGATTGCCTAAGAAGACCCTGCCTGATGCACTTGCTCTCCGATATCGGCAACACGGCAGCACTTTTCAGAATATTCTGAAGTATGCAAAGCTGCTTTTGTTAGCCTTGTCAGTGTTGTACACTCTTCACGTTCAAATTTTTCGCTCGCGTTCTATGCCGACAGTGAGTTACGAATTCTTCTGACTCACTTGTAGGACCAAAAGTATGGCCTAAGCAACTAGTTCTATGAAAAATATTCCACTAACATACGGTTTTATTTAATTAACCAAGTAATCGCATTCATTTGCTCTAATGGCTTTTAGCTTGGCACATTGGCGTTAATAAACTCTGATATACAACCCTTATCGTCTCGAACAATGCTATTTTCATTCAGAAAACGACAATTGCTAGCTGAGCCAACTAAATTCTCCACAGTATTTATTCGATTAGCCTCTTTTTGCCAGGCTCGGAAAGTTTAAAGTATAAAGAAGTCAAAATGTACACTAAGATAATAACTTATGGAAAAAATTTATGTCGTGTCGAGTTAACGTTAGTGAGCCAAAATAACTCTTCAAATATTTTCAATCATCCAGTTACTCCAGCTTTACCTATTAAATCAAAGTTAGTGATTAGAGAGTAAAAAGTACAAGACAGGTTTATTGAAATTATTCAAGCTTAGTTTTCGTAATATTCATTCATTCAAGATTAAACATCTTATCGATTTTAGGTTCGTCCACTGACTCGTTATCTCCCAGTTCCGGATGACATTTCCTTTGACCTTCGACACCATCTAGAGGTGACCTGTGGTCATATTCTATGTTCGCCCCTTCTGATCCCTCATTTACACGTTGATGCAACCACTTGTGCTGGCTATCTCTATAAGGTCGATTCCCGAGTTACATCTACATCAACTAACAGTAGTGGAGATACACCAACAAAAAATTCTAAATGTGACAAATCGTCGTCGTTAGGTGTAAATGGTGCCCTGACAACTTCTACTTTCTTCTCACCATCTACAAAGAGAGCGAAAATGAGGCCCCCTCGGGTAAATTCCCCAAATAACGGAAGTGGTAATGGTGGTGGTTTCATGGCTGCCCTCTTCAACCGCAGTCGACGTGGAAAAAGACGCTGGTTTGTCCTTGATCGAAGGCGTCGACTTCTTATCTACTACTCCTGTCATACGTCTAAATCTTCTAATGCAGCATCTCTTTTGAAGCCTAAAGGTTAGTATACTGTTATTATTTTTCTAAACTGGTTATCAGGCCTACTTGAAGTGTGTAATTACAAATATTTAAGGCAAGTTTTAAATATTTATTGGTAATTGTCACGTGAATGTCTAATGTCTGCCATCCTTTAATAAAATTGCCAGAATAAATTTACTTGACATCGATTATGGCACATTACATAAAAAGAGAAAATCAAAAGTGTTTGCCTCGACAGAGCATTAGTTTTGAGGACGAATTAGCTTAGCACTGAATTCGTTATAGGCTATTCATGGGAAGTTTTGTATGTACTTGCGTTTTCATAACATTCATAATAACAAAAAGGGGGTGTGCGATAGACTTAGGTCCAAGTGGTGCACCCTGGGCAACGTATACTCATACGGCAAAAAAGTCTATTAACTGGCAGTTGATTTCTGGCTTCAAACTACCATCATCCCATTGAATGTAATATTCGACCACTGTTTGTAAAAGAGTGGTCTTCCACAGGGAGCTGTCACAAGCTGCACTCCTTTCAATGTCTTCATCAATGACATAGCCGAATTGGTACAGACAGTCACGGACATCAAGTGCTTACTATATGCAGATGATCTTGTTCTATGGTATTCCGCCCCTTAGAAAAACGCTCAGGAGAGGACAGAAAGTGCCCTAAATTGTGCACTTAAACTACTACCAAACTGGTGCAACAACAATGGAATGGTAATGAACACCGCGAAAACTACATTCCAAACTTTTTCTTTGGCCCGTCACAGCATAAACCCGCTTCTAAGGTACAAGGATACTACCCTAGAAAAAACCAATGAGTTCACATTATCTCGGAATGACGTTTGACACAAAGCTAACGTGGAAAAGTCACATTTCTAAAATAGCAGAACGAATCTCCAATAGACTGATTGTATTGAAGCGTCTTACTGGTAGCGTATGGGACTGTGCACGCTCAACTCTCAACATCACTTACAAGATGTTTATTCAGCCAATAATGTTGTATTGCTGTGAGCCACTCATTACAGCCACAGAGGTGACTCTCAAACCACTCGAGAAGGCACACAACCAAGCATTACGACTAATTACTGGAGGGATAAAATCAACACTCATTGATGTAATGCTCCTAGTTACAGGAAGCACCACAATATGTTCCCTTATCAAAGAGAAAGCCTTGATCCTGTATGAGAAG